ACAGAATACAAGAACATGGTGCTGGACTGTCGAACAATGGCGGAAGGCCTTGTGAGTATCTCTTTTTTTTTAAGCTGGCACCTAAACCCTGCAGCTCGGCTCCGGATGCTTGCAGCTTCTCTCAGAAGCATGTCTGAAAGAAGTCGCAACCAGCGCTCACTGTTTGACTCACAAAGCTTGCTGTGCGAAGCAATGCATGCTGTGAGAAGACGGTTGTCAAACTCGCAGGCGCAAAGCCGACCACCTGGTGTGGGGGTTCGCCGCCGCGCGCTATTCGGCGGTGCTTCGATGCCCTAACAAGACCTAGCCAGGAGCCCTGTGGCCCTGCGGCCTTTCTGCCCTCCTGTTTTCGCGCCCGCTCGTTCTCAGAACCTGACGCGAGGGAAGCGGCAAAGGCTGAAGGGAGCCGAAACCGTTGGGCCTTTCTGCATTCGCGGTCTTGGAATCTCGGGGAGCTGATCCCTGCGCTCCCTGCAGGGCTGCAAGCTCCCGCTCCCCGCATGGTTTCAGAGCTCTTCTGAGCTCCAAACCGCCTTTTGTCCTGGCCTGCGCACTGCACACTGCACACTGCACAGCACTCTCACCGCCTCACCGTTTTCCTTGGGCACTTCAAAGCCAAGTGACTTCTTGAGGCCAGCGGACCACGCACCAGCAGGCCTCGGTGGAAACCGTGCGCATCGCAAGACGGCACTGTCAGCTTCTCTCTATGAAGGTAAATGGAATGCGACTGGCAGCTGCTGGCTCTCGTTTTTTCTTGAGCTGCGGTGTGCACTTAGCGTCCTATCCAACCCACCACCATCCCCAGACACCTCCGGGTAGGTTACTAGGACTACCTGGGAGGGTGGGTACTTCAAAATTACCCCCTTGAAGTGATTTTATCCAGAATGGCCACGGACATATCAAGTCGTGGCCATTCCAAATCCTGCTATCTCACACATGCTCAATCCTGCACATGCACTGTCGCCGACGAACGATCGATAGCATCTAGAAACATAGTTTCTAGCCCGAAACACCTGCGATGGTTTCGGTGGGAAAAATAAACGACGCTAGCACACATAGTCGTAACTCGTTCCTCGTTACGAAGTACCTGCACTAACGTCCTATCCAGCCCATCACCATCCCCAGACACCTCCGGGTAGGTTACTAGAATTAGTCAGAGTAGCGAGCTAGCCGAGCGACGGCCTCGCCAATGCTCGTTCTTTTGATGGATGTGGCACAAATCCCAGTTGGGCTGGAGATTTTCGCTAGCCTTCGAGCCATCCCCAAGCAACGCCACTCAGGCTATCAGGGATTCAGCCTGCGGACCTTTCGGCTAAACTTCGGCACCCTCAAGAGCGCCTCGCTTTCGCACCCCTAGCTCCGATAAAAGCTATCTGAGTGCGCGAGTAACCGGTCCAGGATTTGCCACTTGAGCTCTTCCCCCTTGAGGTCTATCCTCAAGCCGGGGTCGAAGCTATCAAATTCCTTGTTGGTGAGATCATCGGCCAGCTCGTTGAGGTCGCTCCGCACCCACTGCAGCTGTAGCTCACAGTTCTTGTGGGATAGCTCTTGGGCCATCTCCATTAAAACTAGCATGCACGGATACTTGGTCGTCATCGTCTTTTTTAGCAGGGCCTGTTTTTTTTCCCGAAAGCATCGCGAAGGGTTCTTCCGTGCGGAGCCCCGCAGAGAAAATACATAGAGAATACATGGGGTCAAGTACACTTGACTTTACGAACACTTGACTTTATGACATTTG